GGAGGGGCAGTTACTCTTTATGAGATGTGTAAAGATTTTGAGATTGACTTTGCGAGCAGAGTCTTGTATGCGGACCTAATTGTGTTAGGGTTTGAGGGGTTTACAATTATTTTTGGTATGGATTGGCTGCGAAAACATTTTGTGACTCTAGATTATGCTGGAAAGACTGTACATATAGATATTCCCAATATACCATGGCTTACCCACACTTCTAGCGATGGAGAAGAGTCGGTGATGATGAGTTTTCTACGCTCAGTAAAAATCCCTAAGCAGGATATTAGTGAGGTAGATGTGGTGCATGAGTTTGAGGATGTATTTCAAGAGATACCTAGACCTCCACCTCAACGGGTAGTAGAATTTCGCATTGACCTAGTGCCGGGAACTACACCGATTTCTAAGGTGGCATACAGAATGGCGCCTAAAGAGCTTGTGGAGATGAAGAAGCAGCTGGAAGAGATGCTTCAGAAAGGGTTCATTCGTTCAAGCAACTCCCCATTGGGAGCACCCGCGATCTTTGTATCTAAGAAAGATGGCACTCTCCGCATGTGCATAGATTACAGAGAGCTGAACAAGGTGACTATCAAGAATAAGTATCCACTACCTAGAATTGATGACTTGTTTGATTAGTTGAAGGGGGCAGCCATGTTCTCTCAGTTTGATCTCATAACGGGTTACCATCAGATGAGTGTGTCAGAGGAAAGTATACCGCTTACTACTTTTCGGACCCGGTATGGGTTGTACGAATTTCCTGCAATGCCTTTTGGTTTGACCAATGCTCCTGCCTATTTCATGGACTTGATGAACATAATTTTTCAACCGTATCTAGATAAGGTTGTGATTATCTTCATAGATGATATCCTAGTGTATTCTAAGAATGAGGAGGAACACAGAGAACACTTGAAAGTTGTATTGCAGACTTTGAGGAAGCAATAATTATACGCTAAGTTTAGTAAGTGTCACTTTTGGGAGAAAGAAGTTCGATTTTTAGGGCATGTTGTGTCCAATCAGGGAATAGCGGTAGATCTTGAGAAACTTGTTGCAGTCAAAGAATGGAAGCAGCCTACGAACCCTACAGAGGTGAGAAGTTTTTTAGGACTAGCCGATTATTACAAGAGATTTATAGAGAAGTTTTCCATTATTGCAGTATCCATGACCAAGTTGACCCGTAAGAATGTGAAGTTCTTATGGACAGATGATTGTGAGAAAGCTTTCCAGGAATTAAAGCAGCGGATAACTACAGCTCCGGTGTTAACTACACCAATACAAGGAGAAAAGTTAGTAGTATTTACTGATGCGAATGGAACTGGGTTGGGATGTGTGTTAATGCAGCATCAGAAGGTTGTATCTTATGCTTCTCGACAATTAAAACCTCATGAGTGACGATACCCTACTCGTGACTTAAAGTTGGCAGCAGTTGTTTTTGCGTTGAAAGTGTGGATACACTACTTGTTTGGGAAGCACTTTGAGTTGTACACAGTTCACAAGAGCCTCAAATATCTTTTTTCTCAAAAAAAATTAAATATGAGGCAACAAAGGTGGGTTGAATTCGTCAGTAGTTATGATTTCGAGATCCTTCACCACCCGGGAAAAGGAAATGTGGTTGCAGATGTACTTAGTCGACAACATAGTGTAGCGATCCCAATTTCGACCCTTCTTTCATGTTTTGCCACTTCAACTGAGTAGGTCAGGGATCGAGGTTGCACAATGCATTCGAAGTTACTTGAGCCGCATATGCCAAAAACATGGGAGGGTTTGTTTGGCTACTGCAATAAATGCAGGTGCGAGAGTGCAAGTGCGGGAGAAGCGCCGCACGTGCGGTGGTAGGTGAGTCCGAAATTTTAATCTTTTCTTCTCTTTAGGCTGAGTGTATCTCACTCTTGTTAGGTCTCTCTCTCTCTCTCTAAAAACCCTTTCCTCTCCCTTCTCTCTATATTTCCCTACGCCAAATTGAATCAAAACCTTGATTTCTCAAGATCCATTAGAGTTCTGCCATAGTTTTTTCATCAAAGTTGGTTAACTTCTCGAGGGCTTCATTGTGTGCGGTGAAGATCGAGTTTCGATACCGTTGATTTTGGGGGTTTCATCTCATTTCTTCTTCAAAACTTGAGATAGGGATTTTTTTAGAGTTATATATATGTTTTTGCAAGATCTATATGATTTTCGAAACCATCTTTCAATAGCTTTGAAAATTTATCGTTGATTCAAGAAGTTGAGTGATTTTGAAAGTGGATTTGTCTCTTGTTCTTTTAAAATGATCTTATGGGTTTTGATCTTCGTTGATTGAAGAAAAAATGATTTTGGAAAGTTTTCTTTCAAAAGATTTGAGTTATATAGTTTTTGTGAGAAAACATAGAATTTGGGAATTTTTTTTAAGAGACTGAAAATCCATGAATAATATTATTATATTTATTTTGTGTGTCAAAATAAATGGATGTTTGGAAAATTTCTTATTTATATTTATATAAATGATGAATTTCAAGAATATGAGTATTATTGTTCATTTTAGAAATTATTATTCAAAACGTTGAAATAATCTTAAAATAACTAATTGTTGAGGATACTTGAGAAAAGGGAATTGTGTTATTCCTTGGATGATGAATTGGAATAAAAGTATTTATATTCATCTTGTGTTATTGGCATATCAATTCATTTGATTACATTAAACTTTGAAAGTTGATGAAAACTTGCATTGAGAAAAGAATGTTGAGAAACAAGTTTTCATGGAATGGTTTTGGGGTAAATACGTTGGTAAGTCTTGATAGGTGGTGTAGATGATATTGAATAAGTTGGCCTGAGAGTCTGGGGGTGAAAGGCCGAAAACCTGGGCGGATAGGTGTCAAGCCTTCCGGTTAATACCGGTAAAAATGACAAATTGGTAGTACTTGTATAGTGTACTTGCGACCTAGAGATTACCAAAGTCATATTTATCGCTCTTGAAATGAATTGTTAATTTTTGAAGAATTGAAATTGCATGACATCATTGAGCATGAGGGTTTTCAAAGATGAAGATGTGATTTTCTTTTAAAAGAGCATAGCATGGCATGTGCATTTCATCTCTTAACCCATGATTGTTGTATTATTATTTGGGCTAGAAATTTGGGACATTACACATGTGACTATAGCTTCTTTGATGATTCAAGAATGGAAGTCCTGTGAGTTAATTTCGATACATGATGTTCAACCAATAGAGAGTGCTAAGAAGGCATACATTGGTAGGTTGAACGTGCAGCCGACGTTACTAGGTAAAGTTCGTCAGATGCAGAATTTAGATGGGTTTCTCGTTAGCAAGCTCGATGACCTCGTAGTGGATTTGATCGATGATTGTCCTACTGATTGGTCTATGGACTCAAATGGGGGGATTGCGATTCAAAGGCAGGTTGTGTGTACCAAACATTGTTGAATTGAGAAAAGAGATTATGGATGATGCCCATAGGTCCCGATATACCATTCACTCTGGTGGGACTAAGATATATCATGACCTGAAGTGAACGTTTTGGTGGGAATGTATGAAGAAAGACATAGCAGAGTATGTTTCTCGATGTTATGTGTGCCAACAAGTTAAGGCAGAACACCAACGATCGTTTGGACTTATGCAGCCTCTCGAGATCCCTACTTAGAAATGAGAATACATCTCTATGGATTTCGTGGATGGATTGCCGCGGTCTAAGCGAGACAATGAATCTATTTGGGTGATCGTGGATCGACTCACCAAGTCTGCTCATTTTATTCCAATCAGTGTTCACTGAACTACGAATAAACTCGTTAGGTTGTATATTCGGGAAGTGGTGCGACTTCATGGCGCACCAATTTCTATAGTTTTCGGATCGTGATCTGTTGTTTGTGGCAAAGTTTTGGGAGAGTTTTTAGCATGCTTTTGGTGCTAGGTTAGACTTGAGCACGACTTATCATCCTCAAACAGATGAGCAAACTGAGCAGGTAAATCAGATCTTGGAGGATATGTTGAGAGCTTGTGTCCTCGATCTTGGTGGTAGTTGGAAAGAACGCTTGTCATTGGTGGAGTTTGCTTATAATAATAGCTATCACTCCAGTATCGGGATGGCACCTTTTGAGGTTTTGTATGAAAGGCCATGTCGATCACCTGCTTGTTGGATGGAGGTAAGAGATGCGCCGTTGTTAGAGCTAGAGTTGGTGAGAGAGACCACGGAGAAGGTGAACATTATTCGAGAATGTATTAAGACTGCACAAAGCCGTCAGAAGAGTCATGCTGATAGAAAACGCAAGGGGATTGAGTTGAATGTTAGAGATTTCGTGTTTTTGAAAGTCTCGCCGATAAAGGATATCATGCGGTTCGAAAAGAAAGGAAAGTTGGCACCTAGATTTGTGGGACCATACGAGATCACTGAGAGGATTGGAAATGTGGCTTACAAATTAGAGGATTGGTAATGTGGCTTACAAATTAGCTCTACCACCTGCTTTAGCTATGATTCACAATGTGTTCCATGCATCTTTATTGCGGAAGTGTGTGCAAGACCCTTCCCAGCAGGTAGTATCACCAGACACTATAACAAAAAAAGATTTTTACAACGTGCAACGCACGCCGTAAAAACCCTTCTACGACGTGCAGACGCACGTCATATTATGACCAGTCATGGAAAATCATTCACTTTCAACAACATGCTTTGTACGCCATTAAAAACTATTTAACGACAAATTTTGTACGTCGTTACGTATTCTACGACATGCTACAGTACGCTGTTAAAAACTATTTAACGACAGATTTTGTGTATCGTTATTACTTTTTCTATGACTACTTTTGCACGCCGTTAATTGGTGAGACAAACAACGCCGCTGCCTGCCGTAGATAAGTAAAATATACCACGACGTACATGGAATGCTATGGAATATTTCATATAATAACCTTATTTGCTTGCCGTAGAATGTGCATTTTTTTTTAATTCAACAAATTCTATATTTGACCTGTTTTGTAAAATGTAATATTACAAACAGGCTTCACAAAATATTAATCAACCACCAAAATATTATTTCAACCATTAAAAATAAACTATATCTATAAATTATAAACATTCAAAAATTGTCAATATATACATTCCAAACATCCAAAAGGACTATCCTTAAGTTATAAATTATCAAAAAAAGTTATAAATCATCCAAAACTGTACATATATAAGTTTGTAAACATTACCCAAAACTATTCAAAAATTATAGAAATCTATTCATCAAAGTCCTCAAAAACTAATGGCTTCTTCTATAAAAGACTTGTGAAGCTCTTGAACCTTATTCTGCAATATATAACATTTATGATAAGGAACCCAAGTCAAAAAATGTAACAACAAAGGTAATACAAAAACATTGGTTCATACAGAATAATCAACTCATTCTTCACAAAATGATTAAGAAGTTGACATCTAATTTCAAATATTCCATTTCATTTCGAATGAACTATTTTTCTTTCAATTTCTATCCAAATTTCTTAATCATTGTTATCAATTGAACTAGATAGATCTAATATAAAAAAAATTACAGTCAAAACTAATTGAATTGAAATTACAGACCCAATTATCAGAGAGCAAGACCATAGATAAAAAATAAATTAATATCATTATGAGCCTTTATTAATTATCAGCTAGCCACAAAACAACCTAAGACTACCTAATTTTAACTAATAAAAATTAGAGTTCGATGAAATGGTTTGATGAAATGGTTTACTAATTCATCATTGGTATTAGGGTTCTTCTGTCATCTATTGTATATATCATTCATGCCCTAAACAAATTCAATGACGTAACTAAGAATTTCATTCAACTAGTTATCATCAATGTCATCGTATTAGATTTTTTATTTCTACAACAAAATCAACTTTCATATGATGTATTGTAATTTTATATATTCCCTATAAACAAAAGTAATTCAAACACGTCAAACTCGTCAATATATAAACAAAAGTAATTTTATATATTCCCTATAAACAAGAGTAATTAATTCAAACTCCTTTTCTTGGTTTTCTTATTTTGAATGATTTTCAGCTCTGTTTCCAATCCATAGTACAACATGAGCAACACCACAAGACCAATAATAAAAGTCACTTTTCATTTCGCTTGTGACAGAGATTAAGCAAATCCCAATCTCCTTGTTAATTTCTCTGATCCGATTTTGTGCACGTAAAAGAACTGTATAATTAATAATGAAAAAGGTGGTGTGTGATTTTTAAGCTCAACATCTACTTATCTTTTTCCATTTCAATCTCTCTTTTTTTACCCTCTTTGTGAAGTTATTGTCTTTCCATAGTTTTTATTCATCAAGAAATCAACGGATGTGATTAACTCTTTTTTTGGTAATTTTTACTAATTATGATAAAATTGTTATTACTTGAATTCTAACAAGATACAAACTTGAATGCTAAATAAAAATAGGTTCTAAGGGTAGGATAAGGTATGCCAAATCTGAATGTCAACCATATTTATGTAACTACCAGCAGGTTTAGGAGGTCAGATCAGCAAGACAATTGAAGGACACAAGGGCTACATGGCTGCAGCCAGATCCACAACATGGGTAGTTGGCTAAAGGATTACAAGTCAAGGTAGAGCTGCAGCCAAGGCCACAGAAATGGCCACAGCTTAGAACAACAGAACAGCTGCAGCAGCTGCAACCACAGCTCAGTCCAACTGAGCAATTGCATCAGACTGCAAATACATTCAAGTTCTTCTCTGATTTTCTTTAATTTTAACATGAGGAGCAAGTGTAAAGCAACAACCAGCAATCTTTCAATTGAATTGAATGAAATCATAAGCTTTAATAACATATTAAGGTAATTCAAATAATGATTAGCAAATACACTAAGATGGTATTTTTAGAGTTTCAAATAATCTAGATTCTAGAATTGTAATAAAATACCATTAAATTTTGGAAATATCAAGTACGTAACAAACAATTGAATATCAATTTTGGTGTTTGATAGGCAACCTAGTAACATACTAGATGACAACTAGATAATTATTCTGTAAAAAAGTTCAACAAACTTTAGGCAAATAAAAAAAAGTATACCTTGTAAACTTGAAATTGCTTGATTCCTTCCTTCTCCTAGATCGAAATAATTATTTTAGATTTCACAAGGAGGCTTTGACAGTTGGTCAGCAGCACTCGAAATTATTTGATGTTTTGTCTTATAAAAGAAACCTAATAAGAAAAAAATCCAGGTTTCCAAATTTAGTGTTCTTGGCTGTTCAAAACAAAAAATAAAAAATTTGTGCTCTTAAGGGAAAGTTTTCCATTCCAAAACACAAGTTCCAAAATGTGGATTCCTAGAAGACTTCTATTTTATTTGTTTAGCTTCAAGACATCTATTATCTTTAGAACAACACCAAAACTATGCATGACAAACAAACCAAAAAAAAAAAACTCAGATATCAAGATGCCATTTTACTCGCCCAATATTTCAGCATCAAAACCAACATGTAACGATGATCTTATTATACACTCCCTAAGAAATTGATCTGCTCAGAAGTCAAACTCTAGAATCCATGATAGTTAAGAACAAAAAAATCCATATAAGACAAAATAAACATTCTTTGTGGACGCATGCTGAACTTACAATCAAAACATGTCAAAAACAGTGGAAAATGTTGAGACACATGACTTTTGTTTACCCAGGACCAATAAAATAGAATATCATTGGGCCATCTTTATAACAAGTCTAGACATAGAGGAAAAAACAGGGGAAAAATGATGATTTCCCAAAGGAGTAGAATATAATATACACAGAGCATGAATGATGCCAAGAAGGGAGTTCAATGAGGTAACTTGAAGCATGACATTTGTTGAAGTCTGAAGATATGGCTTTAACCAATGAAACCAAAAAGAAAAATAGTAAGTAAAACTTATAGGAAAATGCAGACCAGTTTAAGCATTCTTAAGGAGAACTGTGTCCATGTGTATTTGTTTTAACATAAAGGTGCCTATGTGTGTCTCAAGGTGAACTTTCTGCAAGTGTGCAAAACTAGAAATCATACCTTCTGCAAGCTATCACCACTACCAAATGGAGAGTTCAAAGGAGAACTTCTTCGAGTGTATGTTCGGGGACTATTAGCTTCAGATGGAATACCATCACTCCTTGATTCTGTTCTCCACTTTCGTTGATGGCCACGTGAAATTAATGCTTTTAAACCAATAAACCATTGCTCAGTGTCATATTTATCTTTACAAATCTGTAATGAAAGTCAATTACCAAATTACAAATAGAGTAAAATATATATCTATTTGGAAACAACTCTAAAATAGCAAGAGAGAATTGGTATTTTAGGAAGATCATTGCAGCAACTGAAAATTAAGAAGGAAATAGATATGTCAAATGAGATGCTTACCAAATCCAGTGACCTGTCGTTATATATAAGAGAGAAGGACTGGTACTCCTCAGACCGTGGATACCTTTGAAAGATCAGCTGAAAAAAATTCTGTTTAAAAAGAATTGGTATTTTATATCATTACATTTGGATTTACGCACCACCAACTACAGAAATTCTGTTTAAAAAGAAAAACAAACAAAAAATGAAAAAGTTACATTCACAATTTGATAAGCCTCAATTTCCCTCTTCCCAACTGTGTCTGCCAACCTCCATTGGTAGTACCAAGATGCTAAATGGGATGTGAGGGTCACATAGCTGTTAGTTTGCCCCAAGTATGTATGACAAGTGTAAATGGAATGTGAACAAAATATTCATAGGAAAAAAGTATATAGACCACATTATTCATTGATGAGAAGTTACAACAAGTTGTTATATTTCTACTTTCTTTGCCGGACTCAATGTTAATGAGCTCTTCAAACAACTCATGTATTTTAATAGAAAGAAACCTATTCACAACAATATCATAATCCTTAACTGCATTTTGCAAGTTACTCACAACCTTCCAAAGAACAAATTGGTGTATCGGTCATTCAAGCAAAAGCCATCTCTCCCAAAATGCATAGTTTGGTTTGCTAGGTGTTTGATGATCTAATAATAATATAATTTAGAAACCCATAAAAGAAGACAAAAGAATTCCATTTGAAGACTGAGGGAAGAAATTTACTATGAGGAAAGAGAGTAGAACAAGATGAACATAGCTCTACTTTTTAGCTCATCCCATTATTAAAGTAAAATAATAACATTAAAAAAGAGAAAAGATGCAATCTAATTTATATGAGAAAAGAAAGTTTTCAATATGTAGATATCCATTTTAAGATCTTCAATCATTTTATCAATGCTCCAGCAGTTCATCAATCATTTTCTCAATGTTGTAGCAACTTGTCAATCTGTTAATTCAATTTGAGTATTGCTATGCTTATCAACTGTTTTGACCATTTCCATTTAGATTTCGATGTGGCACACTCCATAATCTTTAGATATCAGTGATATGTCTATGGGACCTATTGTATTAACAACAGTGGAGTATGTCACATCAGATATAAAATGCAATTGGTAAAAGAAAATAGTCAACATAGCATTTTTTTTTTTTTTTTTTTGAATTTATGATGAGATGCATTTGTTTTCAGGAACACACCAATGTTTATGTTGATTTGTAACTTTTATATTATTATTAGAACTTGAAATATGCAAAGACATCTATTTCATCCCAATTCTATGACCAAAATTGCATAGAATTTACCAGTACTGTCATCAGAAGCCATAGAGCTAAAGTGATTTCAATATTTGTTATTCTAATTTTATTTCACTTAACCATATTAGCATTTACATTGATAATGTGGAAGTTTATGTGTGTATATACCTGTGTATATGTTGCTCTAATTCTATTTCACATATACACTTGTAGTCGTGTATATACACTCAATACACTTATAACTGTGTGTATAACCCCAAGGGGTTGACACCCTCCAAGGTTTCAGGTTCGAAACTTCCTAGGTGCAAATAATTCGTTGGGGCAAGTCCATACGGGGCTTTGCCTTGGCTTTAATGGGGCCTCCTGGATTAGTTAGTGGGCCAGATACCATGTTATCAAACAAACAAACCAAAATAATATATATACACTTGTGCATATATGTGTATGTGTATATGTATCTACACATGTATATGAAAATATATCTATATGTATGTGATATATGTTCCATGAGGGATCAAAGAATAACCATGTAGAAATCAGAAGTAAAAAGAAAACCAAAAACAGTTACTGGAAAGAAAAAAAAAAAAAACCACTAGCTTATTTCAGCAGATAATAAACAAGGGAAGTTGTCTAAAGCGTTAAGACCTAGATTAACAGATAATTAATAGAGTAAACAGAAAATTCAAAGGCTTCATAGAATTTCTGATTTATTATATAAAAGGAATACAATCCACCAGATGAGAAATTTAAATTAATGTTCCAAGGGAATCAGTGTTCTTGGTAAGATATCATGCAGGTTCCACTAAATTGGAGCAATTGAACACAAATTATGGATGACATGCAAGTTCCAAGGACATTAAGATGAAAAACAAAACTAACAAGTGTCTTCATGATTTTCTAAACATGGATAGGCAAATGACCGGGTAGTAACTTTTATTACCATCCAATGGCTTAAAATCCTGATAGATTCACTATTGTAAAAATTAAATTTAACAAAAATAATAAATTCAACAAGTTTATGGGACTAGTAAATTTGTTTCAATAGTAGTATATTAAAAATAGGATTGAAACCAAATTTTAAAAAGGAAAATACTTAACCCTCAATATTGAGATAAAAGCTTCCCACCCTCAATTCTACAACAAAAAATAAACATCCCAAACATTCAAAAAGGCTCAGGGCTTAGAAAATTACAAATGATTTACTCCAGCTGCCAAAATATAATACAATACGGGCCAGGTATGGGCCCATTACTATATCATGAACACACTGGTCCAATGACTCTTCAACAGTAAAATGAACCTTTTTTTTTTTTTTTCTTCTTAAACAAACTATAGAAATCAATAATCAAAGAGATAAGGGAAACAGAAATAAGTTCAACTAGTGATAATAATGCAGACCCCACCCATGTCAAGCCAAAAGCACCCATGTGCTTGAGCTTTGAAAAGAACTACTCATATGTCACTTAAGACTAAGTGTTTCAGACCTTCAAAGTAATTAATAATTAACACATGTAAGAACATATAATAATGAAGCAAATAGCTTCACAATTTGACATAAAGCAATTCAGTTTAGAATAGCACTTACTACATTTCTGCAATTTATTACAACACTTCACTACATTTCAAAAAATGGGGAAGACAATGTAAATTTTGTAATTAATTAAGCTACCTAGTACAGATAGTATACATTATAAATGTCAGTCCACAAGCATACAACGGGTCAGTTGTTTAGATTGATCTGAAAATAAGTGAGAGATTATGTGTTTCGGTCTGCCAATAGCAAGCTGCCAATAACTAAAAGCTGAAAGCTTTAACTTTGGTAGTCATGGCTTCAGAGCACATTATTTTTCATCTCTGAACCACTGCTCCAATTATGAAGTGGGACCCTACTAATCATTTATAATTTTGCACTTTAAAAAGACAACACACCAAATGCGTTTGATCATGCTTATGTGAAAGTAATGAGAAACCTTTTTCCACTAGGAAATGATTTAATCACCAAGATTCCTGCAAAAAGGCTGTAATACACATGCATATATGATCTTCTTAATATATATATACACACACTTCAACAAACGATTTTCTAATAATTAGTCATTTTATAAACTAGGGTCATGCAAAAAGCCAAAGAAAAATCTTGAAATTGATATAACAATACAATACTATCTTTAATTATCAAAAAATAAATAAAACTTGAAATAGATCAATATATACAGAGGAGCAAACAAGAACTAGAATCTTACAACCTTTCAATTCTTTAACACCCAAATTTAAAGCCATTTCTTCAAGGACAGAAACAATTTTCACATGAGTTCCATTCCAAATACTAACCCATAGATAATCTCTCCCAAAGCACACAAAAAACCCCTCTTAAATAATCAAGATATATCACAAAGGGAAATAATTTTCATTTAGATTAAAGAAAAGTAACACCATGATGCAGGAGACACAAATATATATTTTTCAAACATAAAAAAACATGAAAAACATAAAAAAGAAGTTCAAATAAATCAACAACAATTCTGAGACACTAACACTAAAAAGTAAAAATGAAAACACAAACAACCACATAATTATTAGGTTCTCGAATGCTATTCTAAAAGAACCAATCCACCTAGGACAGAAAGAGTAAAATGGAAATGGTTGTCTAAGCAACATAAACAGAGGGCATCAACTTAATCAAGAGTAGTTATCTTAGGAACAAAAGTTCCTGCCTCCAAACAATCCAAAAGAAAGTAGAGCATATTATAGTTTCTTTTCTTACCCAACTTTTTCTCAGCAGCAAAACAGTGTGTGAAAGCACTTTGCCTCAGGCTAAACAGAGATAAATAAAAACAAGAAAAAGGAAACAAGAAGTATAAATATATTAAAAACTCCAATTTCCAATTTCCACCCAAGTATTTGCAGAAGGGGGACCTAATTGATAAACATGGATTTCAAACACTAAACCCACAAAAGGATCCTACATCTTTCCGCACACTCCAAAACAATGGAAAAATAAGATTTGGTTTCATTTACCTGCATTTTTTAGCAACCAAACAAAGCAGGAAAGAAGGCCCCAAACTAAAGACCAACTTAAAAAACTATAGTCCTAACACCAAACTATTAAAACCAAATTAAAAACCCACTCTCCTTTCTCAAACCACAAAAAAAATTTCCCATGCAAATATAAAAATATATATGAACTTTAATTGTTTATCTTTTTACAATTTCCCACAACCAAACAGGCATAAAATCGACCTTTACAATACCATTTTCCACAATATAAAGAACGAAGAAAGCCCATTTTCACACAAAAAAAAAAAAAATCTCCAAAACATAGGTTCAAAAATGTTTATTTCGTCCTTTTCCCACATTTTCTCAGCAACCAAACAGCGCAAAGAAAACCATTTTTGGGGAAAAGTAACTGTGATCAAAGAATGATGCTTTTAACAATTTTTCTTTAAAAAAAAAAAAAAAAAAAAAACAATTAAATGAGAAACCCACCTCTCTGTACCTTCAAATTCCAACCCAATTTCTCCAAACGAAGTTTCACCACCACCCACATCAACATTTTTGTTTTCTTGATTCTCTTCCTCTTTAACCCCACCCTCTTTGTTCTTCAAACAATCAATCAATACGGACCCACCAGACCCAAAATTCAAAGAACCCACCCTCAATCTAGAACTCGAATTAGGGTTAGGGTTAAGGTTTTGCAAGCAAGTCTCTTCAGAAGCAAAGACAAGTGAGGGAAATGATAACAATAGTATATATCTACATATATATAAGATGTAGAAGCAAAGACAGACCAGGTTATCGGAGAATCGATCGGAGCGAAAATACGGAGGCGGATCCCGACGAACCTCGCCAAGCTCGTAATCGCTGTCGCAACCAGCTTCGCCGCCACCGCCGCTGTCCGACGGCCATACCACCAGCTCCACCGCCGCTGTCGTAATCGGCGTCATTTGATCCTTCTCCCTCGCCCCGAATACAGATTGAAACCCTTTGAATTGATGATTAGAATCGGTCAAAAGCCAAATAGTTGATGTATATATTGTTTTTCTATTTTTTTTTTTTTTTTTTGGGGGGTAAAGGGTGTAAAAGCATCATAAAAAGTGTAAAATTTCTAAGGGCGGGTGTTTTGTGCGCTATGAAAAGTGTTATACTTTTTTAAGGTTGGCGTATGTGTGTCGTATATAGTTGATATATTAATGACATGTCATATGTATATCATAGAAAGTTTTATTTTTTACGGTAAATATTACAAGTCGTAAAAAAATCATCTTTACTATCATTCACAGCCTATGCAATAGACACGCTGTGGTTGAAAAAGTATTTACAACGTGCAAAAAAAACAAGTCGTAAAAGTAAGAAACTATGGCGTGCATTTATTGTATGTCGTTGATGTAGTGCCGTAAAAAGTCAATTTTGTTGTAGTGAGAAGTGTTGCAGATTAGTGATGATCTAACGTATGTGGTGCGACCGGTTACTATTCTAGACCGAGATGTAAAGCAGTTGCGGCACAAAAAAGTGAACTTGGGGAAAGTGCAATAGAGCGAGGATGAAAATGATATCATTTGGAAATTGAAAGAGAAAGTTCGACATCTGTACGTAGAACTTTTTGCTTTAGTATTCTCTCTTATCAAATCTCGAGACGAGATTCTTTTGAGGTGTGTATATTGTAGCGACCGTAATTTTTCATAAGTCATTATTTATTATTATTATGATTATTATTACTTTATTTATTTTTTACTTCATTAATTGGTGTAGATACATGAGAATTTAATGTGATTTTTAATTAATTTAATGTGATATTTAATTATATATAATTAATTCAAATATTTATATTATATATATATATATATATAATATAATTATGGAATGAAGGACTGACAATTTCCTAGAAATGTCATGGTTTTTGTCCCTAAGGCATTGTTTGGATCTTGAATTTGTCGAGGGAAAAGAAAAGGAAGGAAAAAATGAGTGAAATAGGTCCAAACATAGCGTAAATTTGAAATTCCTGATATGGATGAAAATTAATCATCATTAAACACAAATTAGTTGAATGTGTTCTCGAAGACATTGCTATTTTCAGTATTATATGTTTTGAATGATTCAAACTTGATGTGAAACAGATCTTTGAACTTAGTGGCAAAAAGTTATGGAAATATGGAGATCTATTGTAAAACCTCAAGGTTCAAACCTACAACCTCAAGGTTGATAGGCTGCCTAACGCGTCCTGCCGCCCGCGCTTATCCCCTTATATATATATCTATATAATAAGGGAGGAAGGTTTTTGAAAATATATAAAATATATGTGAGATACATTTAGATTCAAAGGCTGAGATCAATTTTGATAAACATCAATGGCTCGGATGATGATTCGTTCCCGCCCAAACCCGTGCTCTCTCCCTCTCCCACCCACCCACGTCTCCTCCCTCATTCCCTCTTTATCTCTCTCTCTCTCTCCCTCCTTCTCTATTCTTATTTCCTACCCTCCCTCTCCAACTCGGCCTCGATTTCTGCCTCCCCCCTCTCCCCCCTTCTCTCTCAGTGCTCGCTGCGCCCAAGGTAGGGTTCCGATTGAGAATCGCGACGCAGTAGTGGAAGTGTTGGTATCTCCGACATCGGCTCAACCCGAAGCCTCAACCCTAACCGTTAATCTTGTGTCCGCCGCCAGGCGTACTCTTCGGTTTCTCAGAATCGTGGACGAGTCTCATTGGCTCCACACCAGACCCACTACTCTCGAAATCTGTACGAAGGTCATAACGCTTATTTTTTTTGGTGTGTGTGGGTCAATGAAAGTCTTATTGTAAGTAATCTGATCAGAGCGTAGTTAATGTCGAATTGAGTTTGATGATTTTGTGATTGATTGGTTTTTTTCAGGTATGATGAGCTTTGGATACCATTGATTTCTGATCTTACGGTTGGATCAACATCAACTCATAATCCCCCAATGATTCTTCCTCCTATTGATATTCAATGGGTCTGGTTTTGTCACACCTTCAATCCGGTAAGCTATTATTTGATATGTTCTAATTTGAACTCTATTTGGTTGCCCAGAAAAGGTCACAATTTGGGCTAAGTTAACTTTTGGGATTTTGTTTGCTTTTCCTCTTTTTTCAGAGCACCCAAACACAATGTAATCCAATATAACAGTCCATTTTCAGGTCTTTTATAGGCAATACTGTGATTCAAGGTTCTCAAAAATCATAGCAAAACCAGCTATTTTCGACGAAGATAATGAAGAGTATGCATTGAATAGATGCAGAGATATTTGGATCTATAGATACCCATCTGAGCCATTCTTTGTGGTTGGTACTTCAATTCATTGTGTATATACATATTTTTGGTTGTGTTATTATATACATAAGTTTGTATGCTTGTGGTTTGATTTGAAAATGGGTATGTCTCGGTACATTGGTTCTGCTCTTATCTGCTCTAAGGCGGCAATTGAATATGGGTATACTCTTAATAAGGATTGCAGATGCTCTAAGACATATCCATTTTCAAATTTGATCAAAAAATGGCTGAATATAGATCAAACCATTTTATCAAATCTAAATCAAATCAAGGGATTTGTAAAAAAATTTCACCAAATGTTCAACAGTCATATTTTTAATGAAATTTCAAAAAGAGTAATTATTGGATATGCGTTTCTTTCATTAAAAATGGTTAAAACAAATCTTTAGGATAGGTTTGGATTTTTTTAGAAAGATTTGATGAAATAAAAGAGATTAAGGTTTGAGTGTTCCATATTAGATCAAGCTTTTAACCAAATTTTCTCTAAAATTTGATGAAAAAAAGAGACTAGGGTTGGAGATGCTCTTAGTATAGTGATCCTGCTCTTATTTGTATCTCAGTTAACCAAAATTTCTCTAAAATTTGATGAAAAAAAGAGACTAGGGTTGGAGATGCTCTTAGCATAGTGATCCTGCTCTTATTTGTATCTCAGTTATGTTGCATCAAATCTAGGCAGCAATTGCATATGGGTTTGCTCTCATTCATCAATTCATTGTGTGTATGTATACATATTTCTGGCTATGTTCTCTTGCTCTTATTTGTATCTCAGTTATGTTGCATCAAATCTATGCAACAATTGCATATGGCTTTGCTCTCATTCATCAATTCATTGTGTGTATGTATACATATTTCTGGCTATGTTATATACATAAGTATGTGGATTTAGTGCATGCATGTGGTTTGTATAATTTGACATTGGGTATGTCTTTAGTACATTGATTCTACATTATTTGTATCTCAGTTATGCTTCATTTTAATTTAATAACTAATCTATATGAGTTGTAGAATTTGAATGGATGTGCTATACTCATTGATGACATACTAAGAGAGTTCATGAAAAGGAAAAGAATCAAACATTAGTTAAGAATTAGAGGCAAGTAATCTTAGTGACACTTTTTTTTTTTTCTTTTTCCTTTTTTAAATGTTGTGACTGAGGAGGATGAACTAGACACTTCCTACTATTTTTGGTCTCAAAGGTACTGACTCAACACACACACACATAGTTAATGAAATGTTTGATTCTTTAATGAGAAATGGGTATTAATTTTTGATTTATAAAATGGGTTTTTCTATATTATGAGTTTTTCTATTGTTTGCTAAATACTCATAAATATATACGGATCTATAAATACTTCTAAGTTTGCTAAATACGCTTTAAATACTGATATGGATTTTCCTATATTTCTTGGGCTTTTTGTGTTTTTCTATTTTTTTCCCCCTTTATTTGGGAGTGGTGATTGGTAAGTTGTGATAAAAAAATATATATATATATATATATAATAAGGCACAAAGGTTTTTGAAAATATGTTAGAGACAATTGTTCTACTAGGACATTTTAATGGTCCTGATTCATTTTTATATTTAGATGGGCAGCTGAGATGAACCCTTTTAAAAATACATCAATTTACTTCTTGTCCAAACACTAAACTTCTTACTCACCCACGTCTCATCTCCATCCTATCTTCAAGATCACTATGTTATTCTATCTTTATCTCCTCCCTTCTTTGTTCTCACCCACCCCATTCCCTCTTTATCTCTCTCTTCTTCCCTGTTCTTCTTCCATACCCTCACTTCCGAAACTACTGCTCTCTAGCCCTATTCTTCTTCTTTCATACCTTCGCTCCCGAAACTGCTCATGAGGCACGAACACGACGATGTGCTCTCTCTCTCCGTAAATGCTGAGAGAGAGAGATAGAGAGCACTAATATATCTTCATATATGTTTATGTGTTTGTTTTATGTGTGTATAATTGAATTGCCTCTTCTTTCGGCTGCAATGGCAGAGATCTGATGATCTATTTCTTGATGGCTTTGTTCTGGAGGCATATATATTCATCTCTGTTGTGCTCTCTCTCTCTCTCCGTAAATGCTGAGAGAGAGATAGAGAGCACTAATATATCTTCATATATGTTTATGTGTTTGTTTTATGCGTGTATAATTGAATTGCCTCTTCTTTCGGCTGCAATGGCAGAGATCTGATGATCTATTTCTTGATGGCTTTGTTCTGGAGGCATATATATTCATCTCTGTCTCTGTCTCTCTCTCTCTCCGTAAATGCTGAGAGAGAGAGATAGAGAGCACTAATATATCTTCATATATGTTTATGTGTTTGTTTTATGTGTGTAATGACTCGAGAAAAGGAGTTTTCCATGGCTACACAATAGACATTTTGATTTGCATTCGATTTCAATTGTTTTTATTCATTTTCGATTCTGAAATTGCTTGGATCTATATTCAATTAGTTTGTATTGGTTAGTTTGTTCGATTGACGTATGGTTTCGATTTTGGGGTTTTGAAACATTTGTGTTATCGATGTTTTGGTAGTGTGGAGATTTTTAGGTTTTTCTTTTTAAACATATGTGTCGATGATGAACAACTCTGATTCTTCCCCAATCTATCCTTGGTAAAGGTTTTGACTTCATCTTTCTTCACATCTTACGTTAACTTCTTCTCTGTTATGCATATATATATATATATATATATATGTATCTATAGACTGGTATGTATGTGTT